GGGTATGTTTGTACTGGCCCGAGAGTTGAGGATTTGGGCTGTGGACATTGTTGGTCCATTTCCAAGTCACCTAATTTTATTGGGCCTTTCTATTAAAAAGAAAAAGGACTTCTCTCTCTGTTTTTTTTGTTATGCCAGAAAAATTATCTTCCTTTTCAGATTAATTGACACAGAGTCAAATCGTTTTAATGACAGTTATGCAGGTATTCAGAAGCTGCTCAAATGAACTGATGTGAGAAAAGAGCCTTGTTTGTTTGTCCTAGGTTCTTCTGCACACTTTTGGAGGTCAAAAAAATCAAGCCCAAATGCTATGACTTCGACAAAAGTGTAATTTAGTCATATGAAAAACAAACCTCAAAAAAGCAGGGTGTTGGGTTAATTGTTAGGTATGAAAATTTACAGGGCGCAGACAAAAATGCCTTCATTTTTCAACAGGTTTGTTGGTTAGACGGCTCCTCAATAGACACAAACTTTGTTGTCAATGTCATATTTGTCAACCACAGTTTTAAAACCAGGTTCACTCATTTCAGTCTGCATTTGCCCAAGATTTTTAGCCCTGCACATGCCCATGCCCAATTTAAGATTCAGTTTGGTCCCACTGATCCCCCTGCTACCAAATTTGAATATTTCAATATTCACATTGCAGGGAATATTGTTGGATGGAAGAAATATTGTGTGAAAGCCGGTGGATGAGTCCATAGACTTGTATGGATTCTTAGCATGCTCACACTAGATATGTCGATGGTTAGGGGCGGAGCCACGTATAAGCCTATAGTAACTGTGGCTCCCTAAGTTTCATGAAAAAGTCAATAACTCTTAAATACCTACTGCAATATCAGTTGAAATATAAGGTTATAAAACCTTGAAGATACAATACTGGCCGCCCCAAAGACAAGCTACTAGCTCCGCTATTGTCGATGGTCATCCGAGTTTCCAATAGATATGGGTTTATATCAATATGTCCCAACATTAGTGTGTGTGGTCTAATTCTTTATATACCAACTAATCACTTGTTACAAATCTGATCTGAGATTTCAATATGGTTCTAAACGAATCAAATTTTTCAACAAAAACAACCCTTCTATTTTATTTGATTCTAACAACCGTAATAGATTTAATCAAATGGAAACAAAAATAGTTTATTATCATCATATTGCAGGGAAATTGTTAACCAAGTTTCATATAATGGTGCCTTAGGTTGCGATCATATATTTGATTAATTGAGCAAATGTGAAAGCTTTTCCATGCACAAATGATAATGGAGGATAGATGCCATAGAAAATGCTTGTCTATAATCACAAACATCCAATTCTACTAGTGGTAGTGGAGATGCTGTTAATAATTTCATTTGTCATATAACTCACTACCCATAATTCCACTGCAGAAAATTTAGCCTAGTCTAGTGACCACCAACCACAATCTATTGCTATTACAAGAAAAACTTCCCACCAACTAACCATATCCAATAATCTTGCTCGTGACTAATTGCCTTTGACAACAGAAAAGCACGTTTTTAGACAGCGAAAGGGTTTTTTTCCATCCCCAAAAACACTTTTCTTTTTTCCCTTTTGGATCCAACTTTTGTAGTAAGTAGTTGAACTTCACAAAAATGCATTTTGGGGTTCGGAAAAAAAAAATTGTGCTTTTACCCCAAAAATAAAAAACGCTTTTAGGTGAAAATATGCTACCGAAATATATATATCTATCTAACTAACACTACTACAAAATCTAGTTATGGGGACTAATATTATTTGTGCTCTTTAGTATAAAACGACACAATTATTCATGCTCTATATTAAAAGCCACACTGCAGCTACAATAAATTGGTCAGTGTCCTCTATAGGAGTTTCTACTGCTCATGAAGCACAATTTTACCATTTTCGTGTCCTTTGCTCAATACTTTTGAGCACGAAAGTGTCAGATCTGATTCGACTTTTATATATGCACACCAATTATTCATTCGTGTCCAAAGTAATTTTTAATGAAAAAAAAATTTGATTGCAAAAAATACCTAAACCACCTCCTCTTTTTTTCTCTCTCTCTCTCTGTCACTACCACCACCATCGATTTTCTCCCTCACTGTTTCTCAACCATCAACCATCACCACTTCCTATGCCCCTCCACCATCTAAATCAGCCCAGTTCCTCTTTCTCTCTCTTTCCCCACCTCATATCCCTCCACCATCCACTTCCTCTCTCTCTCTCTCTCCATCTCCACCTCCTCTCTCTCTTTCTCCTCCCGATCTGGGTTTTCAGATCGCAGCCGCAAAACCTGCCCAGATTCGTGCCCTACCACCAACAATTTCCGCCCAGCGCCTTCTATCCCTGTCTCCCTCCAAATCTTCTCTAGACACCCATCACCAATCTTCATATTATAATCTCTAAACCCAGCCAAAATCGAGCCCTGCACTCACGATCTCTCGCAGTTGTCAATCTGAAATGTGGGTTGGGTGTGGCTGCAGGTCCATGTTGCAGATGGCAGTCGCTGTAATCTGTGTTAAGGGAGGCGACTTTGGAGGGTGGCGTCAACATGGAGACAGAGAGAAGGAGAACGGCTGAGAAGCTTTCCGAGGGAGAGAGAGAGAGAGAGAGGAAGTTTTGAGATATTTTCTAGGGTTTAAAACTTTTGGGGGAGGCGTACTCAATAAAACACCAAAAATTAATTAATGATAACTTTAGGGGGAGGCCGGTTTTACACTTTACGTTTTCGGGGGTCAAAGTTTTAAACTTTGCTATTAAAATAAAACCCTTAAACAAAGTTAGAAAAATAAAAAGTCACATCACATGTAAATTATTGTAAATTATTAGGCACAAAATGGTTTTTGTGTCTAATATGCGAGATAAAGACACAAAAAATTTGTCTTTCCAAATAATATCACCTTTTTTTTCTAAAGAATGTCTTAGATAATACATATATAATTAGTTTTGCCACGATTTTTTTATGCCTAATGTAAAATTGTGCCCTAAGTGCATGAATTTAAAACAATTATTTGTGTTTTATAAGAAAAAGCCACAAATGTGATTGATTTGTGCCTAATGTTAAAAAGAATGCACAATATTGTATTTGTGCCTTTATGCTCGTGGTCTTTGCCCAGTTTTTTAGTAGTGTAAACAATTCAAGCTAGTTATTCTCTTTAGTCTAGTAGTATTTCTTTCTCAAATATTAAAAATTGGTCAAACATCAAATATTTGTCCGTCGATGATAAAAAAAACCAAGATAGAGAAATACTTCTCTATCATTTGTTGTAATAGAGAAGTTTTACCCCTCAATTAGTTATTTTTGTTTGAATATTTTTTACACTGAGATAAACAACCAATCACAATTAGATATCGTTTTTGCATCCATGTAAATTGAATTTGAGACCTTCTCCAACTAAGTGAAGATAATTATCACTATACAAAAGACTAGTTGATCCTCAAATCAATTCTTTAGACAACAACACACTCTGTTTTACATTAGATTATTAATTAGGAGAGATATAAACAAGGGTAACCATAATTAATTTGTTTGGTTTTGGTTTTTAGTAGCCATGATGAATTTTATGATTGCAACCTTGCAACCATTCAATGCTGGAAATTAATCTTTTGAGGTGACGGCCGATCTGATTTTCCGAGTGAGTTGAAGGATGAGATTTAATTTACCCACCGCCTACATAATAAATAAGTAGGGGAGGAGAATATGAGCACATTAATAAGAAACTAACATGATTAATAATATAATAATATAATAATAAATATAAATACTAAAAAAATTAGAAAGAAATAAGAGAATGTAATGTATGTAGGTGTAGGTGTAGGTATGTTTGTATTTGACCATTTCCTACGCCATCTCTCTCTCTCTCTCTCTTCACATGTCCAAGTCCAAGAAACCAAGTCGTAGCCTTGCGGCAATCAAAATTCAAAGCAATGAAAACAAACAAAATTTGTCTGAACTTGGAACCCAATTGCCCAAAAATTAATAATTATAATAAAAATAAATAAAAAAATAAAAAGCGAACAATTTGGCTGATGTGGCCTTCGTCTATTCGGCTACTCGTAGTGGGGGCCACCCTGACCTCTACTAGTGGAGTTCTCTGTCTCTCAGTATCATGCGCACCAGCTCACCTTCTAAAACCCCCTTTTCCCTCTTCATTTTTGAACCATATACCAATAGTGAAGAGATAAGTTCGTACGAATTATACACTCAAAATGTATATTATATTATATCTTCAATTCAAATTCTCACAAAATAAAAATATTACATTACTTTTCACTTGTGACTTTTGGCTAATTGCAAAGTGTGTATGTTTGGGTTTGATGTAAAAAATTTATATCCAATACCAAGTCTTATCTTATATGATAAATTTCTTTATTAGTATAATGACCAATATCACTAATTAATTTGGGAGTGCTTCTGGAATTGAAAATGTTATTGACTACGTTTGACATAACAATTTGAAAGTGCTTTTGGGGTCATAAAACCGCTTTTTAGAGGTTCTGCTTTATGGAACACTTACAATTGGATTTGTAACAAAAATTTCAATGCTCTTCTAATAAAAGCAGTTCTAACAAAAACGCTTATGAGCAAAAGTGTTAACTATAAAAATAATTTCAAACGGGCATATTCTCAATGTTGAAAGATATTTCTGTTTTAATCCTCCAACTCAATTGATAAAAAAGGAAAAACTAGTAAGGCCACTAGCACTCATCACATTTTCATATTGTCATGATTGCGGATTACACGTTGGGATAAAAATTCACATTATCAATGATCAAAGGATAGGGTTAACAATGCGATATGTTCTTCCTCAACCGTGAATATGTTGGATAATTTTTCTTCTAACATAAAATCAACGAGGCACGCAATTTATAAACTTTTTGTTAAGCATCTACTTTTGTGTAAATTTCTTTGTCAATGTAGTGGCCCAGAAAATGCAAGAATATTAGGTGGGACCCGCCATAGTTGAACCCGGGACTTCGGTAGAACTAAACAAGTACGCAAATTCAACCCAGAAAACGTGGCTTACGAATTAAACCCACTTCATCCCCCACCACGCCTCTTGGTGCAGTTCAGAGTTTTTTTTTTCAGTTTTTCAGACCCAAAACAAATAGAGTTCAGTTTTTTTTTTTTTCTTCAGGCATTTATCATAATTTCTTTCGTTCTTTCTTCAATGTTGCCTAAAACAGTTGCAATTTTTTCTTGAAAATGAAAAGAAACGGATGGCTTGGAACCTAGAATTGTGAGACGTGTGATCTCATTAGTAGTGGTGGTGGTGGCTCTTGCTTATCTTTGCTTTTCCATGTGCTTAGCTGGTTGTTTATTCTTCTTCACTTGGCCACCTTTTTTCCTTTACTTTCTTTTTGGTGGTTCCCCATTTGACCTTTCAGTCTTCTTTGTGCTTAAAGTGTGCGGTTGGGAGAACAAGCTCAAAGTTTGAGGAGAAAGAACAGTGTTAAATGCATTGCAAATAAGCTGCTTGCTTCTTCTTGGATCCAATTCCTAAGGTAAGAGAAAAAGAAAAATTGGTCTTTTTAGTTTTTTTTAAAAATATGTATATTTTAAATTGTTTGAACTTTTCTTCTGGGTGTCTGTTTATTATGTTTTATGGCCACTTTCTGCCTCTTTTTAAAATATTTTATTCATCTTTATCATAGGCCACTTTGTTGGTTAATTGTGATTTTCTAATGTTGTGTTTGAATTTCCTTTCTGGGTTTTATTTATATGAAGTTTAGATGTATAAAGATCAAATCTTTTTGTCTGTCTTCTTCTTTCTCAGTTCTTAGAGAAATTGTACTATAAACAGATGGAAATTAGGAGTTAAGTGCTTTCTTTTTACTGAATTAGGAGCTATGTTGGGTTGGTGGGAGATTTTTTTGTATGTGTTCCTGTTTTGGGTTAGGGAGAAACTGTATCTAAGTCACCAAGGGAAAGTTAGAAAACTGTGGAAGATATTGTTGCAGTTGGTTTTGATAGCACAACAAATAAATAAAAACCTCCAAGCTTATTTTGTATGATTGTGCCTGGAGCCTAATGCTTCACGCTTCAGATTTTGAAAACAATCTCCCAAGCTTGATTTTGACAGCTTCAATCAATTTCTGGACTTATCTCCGTAGCTTCTGGGTTGGACAAACTTCAAAGTTTCCAATTGATGTCTTCTTAAATTTGCAAATTGATAGCTTATGCTTACCGCTTGTGTTTGTGTTCAGGTTTCTTGCAAGATAAGAATTGGACAGGTATATAAGGCCGTCTACCACCAAGTCTATATAATTCGGTTTGAAGCAAAATATAGGGAAAAACTTAGCTGCCATTAATGTGTGGTATTTAATTGGGGTCAGCAGATGGATGATAAGTTAGTAGATGCTCAGAAAGATCACCAGGGACAAGACGATTCGTTGCATATTTTGAGCAAGGAGCGGGAATTGTCAAGAAATGGTACTTTAAAATCCTCTGGGTCAAAATTGAAAAGGTTAGTCACATGGTCAAATCCACAGCATGCCCTAATTTCAAATGTTAAGTGTTCACAAATTAGTAAATGTTGCATAAAAAGTTCTTTGTTTCCAAGTGCTCTGGGCTTGGACAGAAGGATTCCAAAACATATACTGAGCTTAGATGAAAAATTTCGTCGTCGTTGCATGGAATTGATTCATATTAGTGCATCCAAAGCTACCCGATGCAGTGCTGTTGTGAATTTGAGCTCGACAAAGATTGGTGCTTTGCCTGAGAGCTTGAATGTGACTAAAGTTAGAAGTGGAGATACATGTAATTCTACTAGGTTTGTTTTTGAATGTCCATTGGCAGCTGGAGGTGGGAGTGTAGTGATAGGCCCTGCAGGACAGTGGATTGTAGGTACAGTTATGGGGAGCAAGAGCATGGTGAATATATTAAAGAGCCCTTTGTTCCACCAATTTGGTCCCCTCGGTAGCAATACAGACTTGACAAGAATTAATACAAATGATGTGAAAGGCTCAATATGCTATGATTTTACAGAATCTCCTGGTGGATTAAGTTTCTCTTCTTCACCGGTGCTAGAAAAGGAAACACCAAATAAGGGAAGCCATAAAAATGGATCTGATACTGGCCACAAAAGGTTTGTTTCTCTGTGTAGTACAAACTCTGCGTGTTCTGATCAATCTTCTGCTTCTGCTCTCACCACTGTTTCTCAAGGAATGCTTCAATGCACGTGGAAGGGAGGGAATCCTCATTTTGTTTTCTCCACAGATCAAAAAAGGGAGGTCTATGTAGCCAACTTGTGGAAGGTTGAGTCTGAAGAAGATAAGACTCTGGACTATGTATACTTGTTCCATTCAGGAAAGGGTGGGCAAAAGGACCATGAAATTCGAGATGGTGAGTCACAGCTTGTTGGAAAGATGAAGGTGAATAATTTGGTCTCACTCTGCTCAAACAATTCAAAGATCATGGAGACTGAGTTTGTTTTGTATGGTGGTGGTATTGAGATGCATACTTCTGCCCATAATCTCAGGAAGAGTAAGGGGTTATCAAAGAAGGTGGCAGAAGTATTCAGGTCAAGTCACTCATCCAAACAAAAAACCTCCTCCAAATTGAGTGGACCAAGTTCGAAACTTGAAAGTTCTTCTCGGGAATCATGCCTAGATACAGGCAACAATCAAGATGCTCTAGGTCTGCCCAATTTATTAGAAGATCATCTCCCTCCAAATTTTGAATTGGCCGCCATTGTTGTCAAAGACCATCTCCCTGATGATCGTAAGGAGGAGGCTGGAGGTTGGGGTTTGAAATTTCTGAAGAAAGTTGGAGTCAAGAAAACCGCTACTGTGGAAGCCTCAGTACCTATCGAATGTTGTCGAAATAATGGTGATTGCTCTACCAGTATGGATGTTCTAATCCCAGCAGGTCTTCATGGTGGACCAAGAACCAGAAATGGTGGTGCTTCAAGTCTTACTGAAAGATGGAGATCTGGTGGACATTGTGACTGTGGAGGTTGGGATCTGGGGTGCCCACTCACAGTACTTCAAACCAAACCAAGCAAAGAAGACATTTTCCCTCAATCGGACACTCAGGGGGAGTGCAAGTCATTTGATTTAAATCGAAAGGTATGCCAATCTCCTACCTCACTCCCTTCCCCCTTTAGTTTCTTACAAAGTGAAATACAAAATGTTGTTGAGCAAGTATTAAAATTGACTACATCCATACATGTTTACAAAATTTGTGTATCTGGTGCTTGATCTGATGAGTTAATGTTTTTGGACATAAGATATCGGAATCTGGAAAATAATATTGTTTTTGGCTTGAAAACAAAGAATGAAGTGTTTTTTATGACTTACCTGATGGGAACTGAAACATGGTATTTTATACTTCCAGCATATTTTTGTGTGATGCTAAAGCTATATGGTTCTTTGCAAGTAGGCTACAGAATGTTAGTTGATGTTAAAAATTATTCAGGAACAATTTGTCACATACTTACATCTATTCATACTTAACTTTTGAGCATTTATACAATTATTTGAATATGTATTGAGATGCTTTTCTCCCATTTCAATTCTTCAGGGTTCAGAACATGGCCCTCCCACATTCAGGATGTTGAATGTCCACGATGGTTTGTATTTTGTTCATTTTCAACCAACTATGTCAATTCTGCAGTCCTTCTCAATTGCAGTAGCAATTATCCATACACAGAGTCCCACTCTCCGACCAAAATGTACAGGAGTTTTAAGTACCAAAATCCAGGGTTGAAATTTGTGTAGTTGTTGTAACTCTCATACTGTATACAGCAGTGGGCAACTTAAATTATATATGTATGTATACTTGGAATCCAGATGATTTCTGTTGTGTTTTATGGTTTTCTTCGGTTACCCTGATATAGTGATATCAGACAGTTTTCTGCTTCTAGGTTAGTTTGTATTGGTTGGGATTTAGTCCCTTGATTCCTAGGCCAGAAATGCTTGTAATCTGCTCATTAGTATTGAATGTACGAGATTTTGATATAATTATATTGATAGCAAATCATCTTGAGGGCAATTAGCAACACTGAAATTGGCATTTTAATAATTTTGCTGAGATCAATCCGAACTGGAATTTAATTCTTAGACCAAGCCCTGCTATCATAATTTAAAATTTTCATCTTCTGCATACCTCCACTCCAGCTATAGAGTGTTTGATTTGCAGCTTGTTAACATGCTTGCTCTGGTCGCCGCTAGTTCGTTCATGACCATGTTCATGCGTGGAATACATCATTCTAGTGCTCACAAAGTAAGTTTTCCTGGATCTTATCTTTTGTTTTCATGTTTTAATTACAGGGATTACATTTGACATATTAGATTGTCTTATATTTTGTTCACCCACTACGTGTTCATCATATACTCAAACATAGTTGTCTAGCTTAGCTATAAAAAGTGATAGAGAAGAGATTGAGACTAAATAATCGTAGTAGTCCTCTTCATAATCAGAAGATAAAGTTAGAAACTTACGTATAGCCTCTAAACCATGTCATATCAAACCATGGACCTGACCAATTATAAATGATGGTGGCAATTTAATTAGATGCGTCAAACATGCCTGAAGCACATTCGTTTAACTTCAAATTTCCTAGCCAAGATAGAGAAAAATAAGAAAAAAAGGATGAGAAAAGCAAACTAACCATAGTGGACAGTACAATAAATCCACATAGCCATGCTATAAAGAGAAAAAGAACAAGAAATATATTTAACTACAAACTTGTAAAAGTATTATCAAATCATCATGTATGCAGGACCTTTTTATTTTTTATTTGGGTCAAGCATGTATGCAGGACCTTGTACTGGAAGTATATGGGAGTAAATTTCAGGTAACCATTCTCCAGCAGGCTTTTCACTCCTACCCTGCTTGTGATTACTTTAAGGTTAGTGGAAAGTTCTTTCGTATGATTCATTCCGTATAGTTCTATGTAGAAGCAGGTCAAGAATTCTGGATTACTGTAAAATGTCTCAATTGTTGATCTACTTTAGCTAATAATCTGAACATTAAACTTGTATATTGGCATATTTCATGGCTGACAGTTTCCTTAAGAAAATTTCCCCTTGCTGGTATTGTAATGATGACTGTCACGTTTCTTGTGGTGATACAGATGCATAAGTACAAGTGATTGAGTATCTTGATCACAGGGCTGGTAAAATTGTGGTCAAATCGAATGGAAGGCTTAACAGATGCAGGGTTATTTGCCTTCATATTGGTATGGGGTTGAAGGAGATTGATGATTGAACTGCAAGTATTTGGTTAAACCAGGCAAGCAAGGTGTTTCAGGAAAGAGATGGAATTTGATTTTGTCTGCAGGCTGCTTTTCCATTTTTGTTAAACTTGTGAGGAGCTCTTTTGGTGAAGTTTTGGTGCATCATTGGTTGCTTCTATGTCAATTTCAATTTGTTTGTTTTGAATCCTGACAGAAGTTGTTCTTGGCATGTTACGCCTTTACTTTATTTCTAAGCGGTTGATATTTGTCCCAGTACCTGGGTCATTCAATCCTTATAAAAAAACCCACTGTAAATGCAAATTGAGACTCATTTTAGTCTGTTTGATAACGTTTGCGTTTCTTGTTTCATTCTTTATGACATAGTTGTTTTGAATAGACTAGAGAAAAGAAAAATGGTTGCCCACCTACAACGCTGTTACAATGACAAGTTGAAAACGAAAAAGAAAAGATGGAAAGCATTGTCCTTAGAAGTAAATGAAGAAATGAGAAACAAATTGTTTATAGAAAAGGAAAAGAAAATAAATAGACATATCTTACCATTTTTCTCCCCCTTTACCATCTTGCTTCTTACTTTCCTCTCATTCTCATTTTTCTGATAAATATTTACTCAAATGACTCCTTTTCTTTCTTTGTGAAATTACCATACTATTCTTTCATTCCATCCTCATTTTCCTTTTATGTTTTAGAAGGGTTAAAAGAATGAGTTATAAACGTGTTTCTTGGAGAAGCACACTTATTTTTTTTATTAAAAATTTCAACGTGTTGTAATAAAGTTGTTTCTAATCAAAAGTTTATAAACATCTCATATGAGCTTAGTCAAGTTGGTTAGAGTGTATGTGCTTCCCACTTTACATCCGAGTTCGAATTTTCTCTCCATAATTTAGATTAGATTAAAGTAGAATATCGCTTAAAAAAATTATAAACGAAGTACATATAAAAGCAGTACCAATCTGACGGATGGTTATGACTAAAATTATCTGTTTTGGATTGGATTTCTTTTATAACTGGATTGGGCTTCAGTCACACAAATGAGCCTTATAACCCATATTTAAGAGCCAAATTTCCAAGCCCATGATCCCTTCACCTCTTATTGGCTGACCAATTGTACGTCCACGTGGCACAATTGTTCTCCACCATGTGGCACTTCAGGGAGGAGGCGTATCTTTACCTTTTACTCTTTTTAAATTGAATATGCGACACGTGGCAAGGCTTGACCATTTTGGTCCCACACTTTTCCAAGTTTCGGACGAGGTTAACAATTAAATATGTCTAAATAGCATCATCCCGAGAATCTAGAAGCTCCCTAAGTAATTATTTAGCAGGAGGTTTTTTGGGTATTAGCACGAGGTTATCATTTTTGCTTAGCTCAAGATATTTTTTTTATAACTTTTTTGTCTGCATTTGATTTGGGAGTACAAAAGAAGGCGAAGAGGCTAGCAGAGCTTTTTCACCTCCAACTTTTTCACTCGACCGTACGAGATGGAAAAACCCTAGAGCTCCCTAGAGCTTCTTGGGCCTTTGGTCTTCAAACCAGCACAGCTGCTCTGTCTTGTAGTCATAGAGGTATATATTTACATACCACGAAATGTAGCTACACTTTTGATCACTCTCTCTGTTTTTATTCACTATCAAAGAAGAAGAGAAGGTAAAGAAAATTCCAAAAAGGATCAAGAAAACAAAATGGGTTTTTGAGTGGCATAGATCTGAAGGGCCTCAAGAACATTTTCCCATTTCATCTCATCTGTTTAGCAACTTTCACCTGGGTGAAAAGGTGATTTTTTTATATGATCAGGTTTGAGATTTTTACGAGTCTTTGATTTTTTTTTTCGTTTTTTGGGGGAGATGATTTTAGATACGCTTTTGAAAGCAGAAAAAGTGTTTTGAAAATGTTGGTTTAGTGTGACATGTCCTGTGGTATCTTTCATATGCTTGTATTTTGCTATTTCTTTTGGGTGAATGCTGTATGGGAAATTTCTATTTTCTTATTTTGTTTTTCGACTTCTCAAACTAGCTTGCGAGTCAAGTAATCATTTTTCCTATTCATTTCTGATGCTTTCATGTAAAAGATCTTACTTTCTCTCTTTTCGGGTATTTTGCTCTGTATTTCATCAGTTTTTTCTTTAGCTTCAACCTATTGCTTTTCTTATTCAGCTTCAATTTTTTCTCTTTTGAAACAAAAAACCCAAGACTGTTTTTTTGTTTGTTTTCTCTGCTGCAAAGAGAATGAGAAATGCACACTCAACTTTCCTGCTCTCTCTCTCTCTCTCTCTCTCTCTCTCTCTCTCTGTGACTGTAAGTTTTTGACGTTGTCAGTGGTCTTTGCATTTGGGTTGTGCATCATGTTTTGGATGTGTTCTTGTTTGCTGATGAGGACTGTTGTGTTCTTCTTTTGTAGCCTCGAATTTACCTCCATCACCGTTGTTTATGCATATATGGTTCTGGGCCTGTGCACTATTGAAATAAGAGGCCTTTGCCAGTTTCCTGTTTGTCTTGATTTCTCACTGTTTCAAATGTTGCTGCTTTATTTGTTTATTGTACATATTGATCGGGAGGGTGTTTATGAGTCCATTAGTCGTGTGCTTTGGTTATTGTTGTTGTTTTGATTATTTATTTGAGTAAGATTTACAAAATTCAGGTTTCCTTAAATAATATTCTGCTGTCAATGTAGAACGCAAGCTGATGTCTAAAATGAAAGAATTTTTTTAAGTTTTCAAGAAGACATTGAATCCTTTTCCTTTGACTGAGTTAAACATGGGTGGTATTAAGCCTTAGTCTTTCAATTTTTAATATAGTTAACCCATGTGAGGAAATTTGGGCAGTGGCTGTCCTGTCAGTTATGTGGGTTTACTAGCTGATCTGAATTTCAAAATTAATTAATTTTCTTTTTAAATCATCTACTTATGCTGGATATGGATAACCAGTGATAGCATTACTATTTCCAGTACCAATTATATAAGATGATTCATTTTTGTTCTTATGGCATCCATGGCGCTATACATGCATTCACTATTAAGTAATACCTTTCATGGTGATCACACCATGGTTAAATTTTTTGGGTTTTCTTGGCTTTCTAGTTCCCTGCTTCATTTTGTTGACAGTGGTGTTATTCATTGCTTACATAATAGTTCAGTCCACCATGAGTGGAATATTAATAAATAATTTTCCAATTTTGGATCCGTTATGTTGATTCATACCTGTCACTTAGTCCACTATTCTGCATATGAAGGGAAGGGAAGGGACACACCAACAGATCGACCAATCGGAAAACTTTAAATCAGTGATGCCACCAAAAAATCACAAAATTGCAGATGCCTGTCGTGTAATGAAGCGTTATGGCATTTCGGGAGCCAAAACAAAGGCAGCGCTTAAGGAACTTCTAAAATTATATGAAAATAACTGGGAGCTTATTGTAGATGATGATTACAGAGTCCTGCTTGATGTTATACTGGACAAGAATTCCGAGGAGGAGGTGCATATTACATATGTTTTAATATCTGGTGTTTGGTTTATTCAATGCTTATTGGTTTCCTCTGTATATGAGGTTATACTTTGTATTCTCATTCCTTATCCTGTTTTGCCTGCTTACAATGGCTTTTTTAAAACAGAGAGTGAAAAGCATGGAAAAAGAAACTTTAATTCATGAATCAAAGGTGACCTTTTTATTTTCTGCTTTATTGTATAGATTCTATTCCTTATCTACCATGCAGAGATCTAAGGGATATATTGCTTTTTTCAATTTCATTTGAATTCTTAATTTAATGTTTTAATGTATGTGTATTTTCATACCAGGGAGTGAAATCCATGAAGAAAGAAGCTCCATCATATGATAAAACTGAGGCTGTTGAACTTCCAACCAAGAGATTATACACAAGACAACAGAAGAAACAGGCATTGTACCTCTCCAAGTCTTGCTCAGACGCAACTCCATCAAGACAGGCACATCCAAGTGATGATGATCTGTTGTCAGATTCTTCATCTGAAAATAATCAACCACCATTGAGAAGATATTCAATGAAACAACAGGAAGCTTCTTCGATACGTGAATCAGAGGTGAGGATCTTTTGTTTTATCTTATAGAATTTACTCCTTATTTTTGTGTTACAATCATTTGGAATTATTATTGTGGTGTTTCATGTCCTGCTCTGTCTACCATGCAGGGGAGATCTGGGAATGATAACTTTTCCTCAATTTGATTTGCATGCTTAATTTAAATGTTTTAAGATTTCATGTATTTTCGTACCAGGGAGTGAAATCTAAGAACAAAGAAGCTCAAACTGAAGATGCTGAACATCCAACAAAGAGAGTATGCACAAGACAACAGAGAAAACAGGCATTGTCTCAGTCTAAATCTTCCTTGGAAACAACTCCATCAAGAAGTGCACATCCAAATGATGTTGAGCTGTTATCAGATTCTTCATGTGAAGACCTTCAGCCACCATTGAGCAAATATTCCCTGAAACACCAGGAAGAAGAAGCTAGGATACGTGAATCAGTGGTGGGCATCTTTTGCTTTATCTAGATTTTACTCCTTATATTTCTGTTACAAATATTTGAAATTATTAGCGTGGTGTTTCGCGTCCTGCTCTGTTACCATGCAGGGCTGATCTATGGGAATAATAACTTTTTTTCCATTTGATTTGCATGCTTAATTAAATGTTTTAAAATTTCATGAATTTCTGTATCAGGGAGTGAAATCCAAGAACAAAAAAGCTCTATCATATGATAAAACTGAAGATGTTGAACTTCCAACCAAGAGATTATGCACAAGTCAGCGGAAAAAACAGGCACTGTCTCTCTCCAAATCTTCCTTGGAAAAAACTCCATCAAGAAGTGCACATTCAAATGACGATCTGTTGTCAGATTCTTCATCCGAAGAACTTCAAACCCTATCCAGAAGGACTGTCCTAAGACATCAGGAAGAAGTTTTGATCCATGAATCAAAGGTGAGTACTTTTTGGTTCATCTTATTGATTTTTTGCTTATATTTTTTCTTACTATCATTTCAAATTATGGTTGTGGTGTTTCATGTGCCATAATGCTGCATCTCATCTACCATGCAGAGGAGATCT